CGTGGAGAGGTCTAATGCTGCTGCTGCTGCTCTGGACAAGAAGCAAAGAAACTTTGACAAGGTTTAAAATCAGCACCTGATATGTAATTTTATCATGGATGTAAACTATATTCATCCACTTTCTTCTGATTATCCGGGGTTGGGTTGTGGTTGCAGTTGACTAAGCAGAAAGACCCAGATTTCCCTCTCCCCAGCCACTTGGGCCAGCTCCTCTGGGAGAATCCCAAGGTGTTCCCTGGCCAGCTGAGAAACATAGTCCCTCCAGCGTGTCCTGGGTCTTTCTCTGGGCCTCCACCCACTGGGACATGCCGGGAACACCTCACCAGGGAGGCGTCCAGGAGGCATCCTAACCAGATGCCCGAACCGGGAGATCAAAGCAACAGTAAAACTCATTGAGTTTGTTGGCAGGCTCCAATCATCGATAGCAGGGGGAGCAGCTTGCTTGTAACTGGTTCACTGTCTAAGCCCCCTCCATACTGAGGCAGAGTTGTTTTCAGAGAGCTGTTGCTKGAGACTTTCAGAATACACAAGTTTAGCGTTTCTCACCTCCCTGCTAAACTTGTATTTTGCCACCTTGTAGCTCTCTCTCTCCCCACTCCTGAGTGCTGTCTCTTTCTCCAGTCTGAGACGCCTGAGACTGCCTGTGAACCAGGGCTTGTCGTTTTGATAGCATACACTGGTGCATGTTGGCACTATGCTTTCCTCACAGAAGTGGATATTTGAGGTCACAGTCTCTGTAAACTCATCCAGGTTGTCTGTGGCCATCCTGAACATCTCTTAGTCTGTGGAGCCCATGCACGCGCAGCTCCTCCACCACCTCAGTGGTCCACTTTTTTGAAGTCCTGACTGAAGGTTTGGAGAGCTTCAGCCTCTGCCTGTAAGCAGGGATTAAATGGACCATGACGTGGTCTGAAAGTTCGAGAGCTACGCGTGGCACTGCTCGGTAGGCTCCGCTCACAGTTGCGTAACAGTGGTCCAGGGTTATCTCTGCTCTTATCGGGCATTTAATAAACTGTCTGTATTTGGGGAGTTCCTTGCTCAGATTACCCTTGTTAAAGTCGCCCAGGATAATGACTAAAGAGTCCAGAAAAGTTCACTCCATGCACAGAATCTGAGCTGCAAGTGCGTGTTGTGCTTCGTGTGCATCCGCCTCCAGCGGAATGTAAACAGCGACCAAAATGAATGAAGTGAACTCACGTGGAGAGTAGAATGGTTTGCAGTTGATAAAAAGATATTCCAGAGCAGGTGAACAGGTTTGGTAGATCACACACATGCCATTGCACCAGCGGGTGCTGATGAAGAAACAGACTCCCCCACCTTTGGACTTGCGTGAGAGCACCAGGTCGCGATCCAAGCGGATGAGTTGAAATCCATCCAGGTGTAGCGCGTGGTCCGGGATCTGGCCACATACTGTAGCTACGTCTCTGTGAAGCAGAGCACACAGGAGGAGGAAAAACCCCTGTTACATCTTGTCAGCTGTGCCAGCTCGTCCATTTTGTTGCTCAATGAGCAGACATTTGAAAGAAAAATCTCAGGAAGTGGGGTGCACATCCCGTGTCTCCGGAGACACAGCAGGGCCCCAGCGCACCTCCCACGTCTCTTTCACTTGCAGCTCCTCACCTTTTCCCTCAAAAAGAGTACTAAATCTGCTGCCGGTGCCAGAAAGATMGGTACCAAGTCTGAAGGAGTAACAGATCCTATGTTAAGGAGCTCTTCACAKGTATAAGAGCAAGGTGATACAGTATTTACAAATAAAAACAAGCAAAGCAGGGTGCAGCAAATCACCGTGGCGGCCATACGTGCCGCCATCTTGGATGAAGATGTGCAGAAATGATGAACAGAATCTGCGACAAAGGGCAACCTTGGTGGAGTCCAACTCTTACTGGAAACGAGCCTGTCTCATTGCCGGAAATGTGGACCAAGCTCAGGCACTGGTTATAGAGACTCGTATCAAAGGGCTTGGTACCCCATACTTCCAGAGTACCCCCCAATAGGACTCCACGAGGGACATGGTTGAACGCCTTCTCCAAGTCCACAAAAAACATGTAGACTTGTTGATCAAACTCCCATGCCCCCTCCAGGACCCTGCTGAGTGTGTAGAGCTGGTCCAGTGTTACACGAAAAAGACAAAAACCACACATACACTAAATCCTTTCTCTGAAATGTTTCCTCTTTTCTTTTCATTCAGGTCCTGGCAGAGTGGAAACAGAAGTACGAAGAGTCTCAATCAGAGTTGGAGAGCTC